CGGCGGAGCGGCCGCCGCTCCTCAGCCGCCGGCCGCGCTTCAGCGGCTAAAAAGTGGCAAGAGTTCTACCGAGCAGGAGCACCAGGAAGGGGGCTGAGTGGGACACTCATCTCCAGCAGCTGGTCGTGGAGGAGAGCTGCCTCCCTGCCCGCCACAGCGCCTTACCTCCTGTCAGTGGGAACTGAATCGTCAGGCACCACCTGAACAGGGCCAAAACGCGCCACGAGCGTGATCCAGAGCCCGTAGCAATCCACTGGGGACTGATATCCAGACCAGATGAGGACCAGGACTGTCCATCCTGGAAAGCCCTGTAAAGAGGTGAGCCATCCCCACGGGGACAGTACCCGGCGTGGCAAGAAACAGGCTGGAGTCCCAGGCAGAAATAAGTATCTGATGCCTAGGGACTACAGAAGTCAAAGAAAAAAAAGCAGAGAGAGGGGCTGTGAGCTCATACTCTTGAAGAGCTATGATAGAACATTTTGCACTGTTGGTCACAGAAACCAACGCTGCTGAAAAGGCAATAAAGTATGGCTAGAAAGAATTACAAGCCCAAGTAAGGTCGTAAAGGGGACTGGAGACTTCTCAAAAAGAAGTGAAGGAGAGATGAAGTGCAGTCTGCTGAAAACAAAGCTTACGTTGACTCAGAAATTGCACTAAGACAGATTTTGAAATGTGCCTTATTGGAGTTGATGAACAGGATCAAACAGGTACCAAACAATTTTATTAAACATGTTTTATAGGAAGTTTTCAGGAAGGTTTGGGCAATTTCTGGCGTAATTTAACAATTTCTAACTTTTTAGAGTTGGAGATGATCTGCAGTGAGGAATAAAAAAATTGGAAATTTGGCTTAAAAAGACCTCTAAACTGCAGATCGCTGTGGAAGCCAACTGCTTGGCTGAAGAATCTAGTCAGCTAGAAAGATGGGAGAGAGAGAGAATATATACTATACTTTTATATCCCGTTTGCTCCCCAGAGAGGCTGAGTAGGAGAAATCATACCATCCTCATTCAAGTAATAAATACAAAATATGGTAAACATTTATGCAAAAAGTCCTGGAAGATTTATGCACAGCTATAGTAAGTCAAAGAAATGTTTGGGTAGATGAGAAGGAGTGTTTCTAGTACTAATTTGAGTACTTGAGATAAAGTACTTCCACCACAGGCTTCCACCCACACCCTCTGCCTCTGCCACAGGAGCCATATGTAAGCTTAGGCCTCAGCATTCAGTCATGGCTTGAGCTGTGGTGTAGATACACCTGTACCCAGTCCTGATCCTGAATTATTGTTTGGATTTCCTGGATTGACCTTAGACCTGTTACCTTGTTTTTGTCTGATGGCCACTGGACTGTCGTGAGGATCTGTTGCTGTCAGCACCCCTGCTCTGCTTGCCCAGCTCATGTCTGTGGGGCTGTGCCTGGTGGCCGAGGTCACTGCCCAGCCTGCATTGTGGTCACCCTCAGCTCCTGACTAGCCTTCTTTAGGGTGCAGGTGGCCTTTGCTGCTCCCTGATATGCATTATATAAAGGTGATCTGTATCGGTGTTCCCTGTCTCATACAGAAATACCCATATCGATCTAAAGTAGCTTTTTAACCAAAATTACTGTTTTCAGACCAGGGATATTCTTCCCCTTTAAATAAACCAGTACACTAAAGGTTATATGTATAACTGTCAAATGAAGGTAAGTTTATAGAAATATTGTTAAAATTGGTTACAGAAGCAAAAGAACCCACAGTCAGTAATGAGGAAAAAAATAAGGAAGCTGGTAAATACAATGCTGACGCAGTGTAAAATAACTCAACAATGTGGAAAAAAACCCCCACATTTTAAGAGTGGCTAACAGTTTCTTAAATTTCATCACCCTTTTTGGAAAACTGATTGACATTAAACTTAAGGGGTAGAGCTAGAGACTCACAGTTTTAGTTTTGCTCTGTTCTGTTTACTGTGCTTTTTAAAGATTTGGTAAACTTAATATGAACAGATCTAGTAAATATTTAATGGGGACAGTGTAGTATGCAAGAACAGTAGACTGGTTTATGTTTGATAGTTTTTAGACCAGACATACTAAGGAATAAAATGCTAGGTGATTCAAATGAGCAATTTAAATCCTCCCACAGAGTAAATGAATGATTAGGAAGTATGCATTCACCCCAATGTGGAGAAAACAAGGTATAAAAATTGGATTTCAAGAACTAGACTGAGAGGACTGGATAGCTGAGTTTGTGGATGAACTGATAGTGGCTGATAACTAACAAATGACAGGAAAAATGGCTTGCAAAATTAGTGTTTGGTAATTACCTTTAAATATGTCTCAGTGAAACATCTATTTTGTAGGTGGCTGATCTGTAATGAGTGTATTTTCCTACCCCTAGGGGAAGAAATTATAATAGCAACCCCATGTTGGTACCTGTTCTCAACCTGGATGATGTGCAGGTGCATGCTAAAACTTTTGAGCAAGAAATACTACAGTTACATAGGTTATGTGATAAGCATGAGAGAACCTGAAAAACAGTATGTTAGTGTATTTCAAGGAGAGGATGACCTACCTCAAGCTCACAGTTAATAAAGAGGAGTTTAATTAATAAAAATACATGGGAATGTGCATGGAAAAGTGCAAGGTTCTGACCTTGCTGCAGAAGACACGCTAATGGGTCTGGCAACGTGAACACTGCAAATTCAGTATGTGAAAACTCTAGTTTAAAAGACTGCCTAATAAAACAAGTGTGAGCTTGTGAATCTGGTAATGCTAAGACAGAGGAAACCAGAAAGGTGAGGAGAGGATGAGTGACTAGAATTTCTTCTAGTTAAAGAATAAAACAGATATTCAATATGGAATTAGTGGTAATTAATGGTACATGCTAACTTTATTTTGTATATATAAATTATTATATATATATTTTGTATATATGAAGCAAGAGTCAGGTATATTCCAGAATCCAGTGCATGGATACAGAACATGGCTTGTACCCTCCAAATCGACAATGAATGAAGCAAGCAAAGTCAGGTATATTCCAGAATCCAGTGCATGGATACAGAACATGGCTTGTACCCTCCAAATGGCGATAATGAAATAGGAGAATTCATTCAAAATTTTGACTAACTAGAGACTGAATATTTAAATATTTGTTCAAATTTGAAAACTATGTTTTCTGTGTGAAAGTGCTAAAAGACAATGGGAAAACAAAAATGTTAAACACAACGTAGATGTTCCTGTTCATGCGCAGGAAGTTTTTTCTATCTACCTAATATTAATTTGTGTTCCAAGTTGTAGAACCTTTTTTTTCCCCACTTTACCTGGTGTATTTATGTAAACAAGCTGCTCATTAGGTAACCCAAATTACATTTGCTGCAATTCTGTTGATGGTACTAATGTCTGCAGCTGGCCCAATGGTTTGGTGGTAATTGTGTAACAGTTACAGAGCAGCAAAGACAGTGAAGCCCCTGAAGAGAGAGAAGGGTTTAACCACACAAGGGTTACAACAGTGCCTGCTGGCCTATCCATAGAGCGATGTTTTTGAATGTCTTAGAATAGATGAGCTGATTAACTGTGAATCACCCTCCCAGAAGAGATGAAGCATTAATAGCAAACAAAAGGGAAGCAGAAGGGAAACTTCAGGCAGAAGAAAATAATTCAGGAATTAAAAGATTGGTGAAAGCTTTAGGATACTTCCAGATTGACCAGAAAGTCTTAGTTCAGTACTATAGAAATAGAGGTCTTATGCTGTGCACTCTAGGATGAATTTGGGTGAATGTGGCTGAACCTATATTTTAATATGTAATGCACCCACAGCAACAAATGTACATAAAAACATAATTGTTTTCTCTCAGTCAGTGACAACCCTTCTGAAGCGTGCTGTAATCTGAATTTACTTGGGAAATTCTCTCTGCTACATCTCAGCCGATGGGAATGGCAAGAAACAAAATGCTGACTTTATAGATCAATAGTTAAGCTTCATCTAAAAGGTTATGCCTTGAAACAGAATATACTGCTACCTGAATAATATTGATTATAATGTTCATGTATGTTTTTCCAAATATCTCAGTAAGTGAAGTTTAGGAAAATCTCTACCAATGTTTATAAAGTGATAGAAAGCTTACTAAAGATATTTTTTAGATGTGAAGCACAGGTTATTTTATCAAATTCAAGCTTGTAATTCTTGTCATTATCAAACAATATGCCTCATGAGTTATGGATCAGGTCATTGGCCCATCTTATGTGCAAACAGCCTCCAGAAGTGTTCACATACGTTGCTTTAGAAGAAAGCCTGTTCTTGATGCTCCCAAACTGTGATTCATCAGGCATTGTTAGGATAGCTGGTTACCCTTCAGAGACATTAGTTTATGCCCTGAAACAAGAGAGATGTTTAAATCAGCATATGTACCTACTTGTATGGATGGAAACGGGTTACATCTACTTCTTTTCCATTACAAGTTAAGAAACAATCATCTGTAATTGCAACTGATTTTTGGAAAATACAGAAGAAAATATAAAAACTGACAAAAAAAAAAAGAAAAAAAAGAGTCAGAAGAACGTAACCAATGAATTAAATCAAAAGTATTCTGTCACCAAAACTGGACACTGGCAGATGTTTAAGGAAGAGCGTAAGAACATGGAAGCATGTAGAATCCTCTCCCAGCCCCCAATAAATTAATGTATTTTCTCAGCCACAGGTGCTATATAGTAGCTATATAATG